ATTGGTGTTTCTTTCTATTATTCATATATGTTCCTTGATCATAGCATCCTTTTGGAAATTTGAACATCACTGAATTTTTATGTGTTGTGTCTTCATCAAGTAATTGGCATTGTTATGGGGACCTGTTGGGAAACAAGTTCTCCTATGGGGTGTTCATGTCAGGGGAAAGATGAACAAAAGGGAAAAGGAAACTTATGATAACTATATATTTTTTTAATTTTTCTCAAGACGAATGAAAAAAACACAAAAAAGGAAAACATCGATAACTAAGTTTTACATTTACGATACAAAAGAAACACAAAAACTGCGAAACTCACCATATTAGCTTGTCATTCCATGGTGCAGGAGATGAATTTTTTGTTGAAACTGATCATAACTCGGAGGGGAACTGGCTCAAATGACATGTAATGAGGTCTAGTAATCAAGTTATTGGCTTCTTGGGAGAAATTTCGAATCACATGATGAGAAACTTAAAAGAAAGGTACTTGCATCCCCCAGTGCTTGATTAAATTCGAAAGTTACTAAAATCAATTCTTCCATAAGAGTAATGTGTACCTGAAAAGTCCTCAAGTAGAGGCTTTCTAACAACTCCATTGAGTGCCAACACTTGGACAGGAAAGCACATATTATTTTATTTGTTTGATAAGTCCGGCCTCAGTCTCGAACACAAGACTGTGTCTAGTTTCATTGGAAGATTGAACTGAGACAAGAAGAGCTGGGGAAGAACAATGGGAAAGAGATCGTGGCCCCATTTTGCAACGATGGTCGACCGCCAGTCAAAAATGTGTCGATCTTATAAGTTGCTTAAGCCAAGAAGTACCCAATTTTGACTCTTTAGAAATGTGATAAGCATACAAGAAATATAGCTAGCTATAAGAAACAAAACGTTGGTCTATTATGAGACTGTATTTCATACATGTTTGACGCATTGGTCTTACGTTTATCTGTTCTCATTATTACAATGTGAAATGAAAGTGTTAATAGTAGACATGACGATCGATATGATTACAAGGAAAAATTATGCTGTTGGGTCACAACTTTATCGCTGACTCACTTCGATGATGTTGGTAGTGTTAATTTTGCTTATAATGCTTCAAAATGATTTCACTGCAAAAGTAATTGGCCTTTTTCGTTGTGAGTAGTGACAAGGACATGACTCGAATTCAATGGATTTAATTAAACGACTAGTGTCAAAATTTCTGTAACAAGAACATTTATTTTATATAACCTCTTACTATATGATACATTAAATAAAATCAAAATAAAAAAAATGGTTATTAATTTGTAACTGTTTTAGTGCTATTTATAAAAATTTCCCGGAGAATCACCTCATATATGGACCGACCCGGCCCAATATCACTGTTTCCTATCCGCTCTGGGCCCTACACGGCCCGACCAAGTTACAATTTGAATCCCCAGCCATTATTATTAGTCGTTCTCTCAACAGATAATACATAGAGACTGACATTTTACATTTTCTACTACTAGTTTCTGATTCTACTACTTCAAAAAAATGCAAATATTATCACGAATATCTGGATCTGAACTCCTCATTATTGAATGAATACGCCTATGTTTATAGCAGATCTTTCAATTGATTAATGCCGGGTTAATTACAGTGAGTGAAGAGGAGTTTCTGAGATGGGTTCTAGCAGTAGCAAACAAAATGCACCTGACCCGTCAGCAACCAATAATTCTGCAATATCATCGTCTTCTTCAGCTGTTGTTCGAAGGAGTCATCGATCTTGTAGAAGTAGAGGTTTACAAGCTTCTTGTCTCCGATCTCACCATTCTGAAATCAATGAAACTCAGGTAACTTTATCTAGATTTACGGATTTTTTTTTAAGCGTATTGTGGATGTAAATTTTGTATTTCAATTTAGTGGGTTCATGATTTTGATGTTAAATTTTGAATGAAGTTAGCTGATTACTATGTTATATTTCATTTTTGTTTAATTCTTGAGCATTTGTATATGGTTTTAATGCTGCATTTCTGAAAACGAGTGGTTAGCGAGTGATCTGATATAGACACGAATATCACGCATTAACCTGTTGTACGGTATACATTTGTGATTATACTTTTGGTAGCTTATACTCGGTTTGCCTGTTATATAACTTATATCATCGCTATTTTAATGGTAATTGCATTGTGCGTGGGCACTAGTGATTCGTATTGGTTGCAACAGTATATGGCTATTTTGCTCTGGTTATATTTTGAAATATGAAAAAATGGTGATTTATTTCTGTAAGGAGTTCAAAATTAAAAGCCACCATCTTGGAGCTGTTGAGGAGGTTGGACGCCTTTTTATATCATCAACAACTTTGGATCATGTGGATTGGAATGCCACTTTGAGCATTTTGTTTTCATCAAAGGTGCCTCAGTTTTCTTTAAGTAGCGTAGTGTCCTATTAATACTGGTTGGTTCTTTAGGTGTCTGTTCGTCAGAATGGAGAAAGCCGTAAGAATGTTCATGCTGTAAGTGAGATTAAATCGGACTCAAATGAAGTTCCAGCTGAATGTGACCGCAGTGATAAAGTTGAGTCGGCTGAGGAAATGAACTATGTGACCTCCAATGTTGAGCTCAATGACTGGGCTGAAACAAGCTTCTCTCATACTGTGTCTCGAGAAGGTGGTTCTTCTCAAGCTTTCACCTCTCGATTACTGAACCCTACAAGCCGATTACTTTCTCGCTGCAGTTTCTATCCTGGTAATCTGAGCTTCCGGTTAAGCAGATCAAGCAGTTTAGGATCCTCCAGAGCTTATCCTGCATCTTCAACAAGCTTCACAATTTCAAACAATGGAGACCACTCAAGCCACATTGGTAGAATGATGAATAGAAATGAGAGGTCAAAAGGTTGTGACTTCTTACCAGCATGCTTCAGCAATCAACCTCCTGTATTGCGGCATGAAGATTTACCAACTAGTAACTTACAGTTCAGTCCTCCAACTACTAATTTCTCTGATAGTTTGCAAGATACTCAACATATTAGAGCTAGTCAAAATGCATTGATACATAGAGATGATACACAGACAGAGTGTACTCCGAGTTTTTTCTCTCCTGAAAATGTTTCTAACATTGAGGGGACTGGAATAAGACATGTTGATAGTCGGATTGCAGCTCGAGAACCCATAGAGAGGAATGTTCGATTTAGTAGAACACTAAGTGTTGGTAGACTTCGTGACAGAGTTCTTCGTCGATCATCAGTTCCTGATATGGGTTTATATACTTCAAAGCAAGACAGGGAAGTAAGACATGCTAGTCAAGTTACTGAGAGACGGGATTTAGGTCATGAATCAGGACTAGCAATGTCTGAAGAAAATGTCTTTGCAGCCTCAAACTCATCTAGTCATGCGCTGTCCATTATGTCTAGCTCTTCTTATAGAAGTCAAAATAATGAATTTGAAACTTCACGAGCAAGAGAGACGAGATATCACGAACTCCTGGAGCATAGATCAAATTTCCTTGAGCGCAGAAGAAGAATAAGATCTCAGGTTTGTTTCTTACCATAACTATAAATTTATACTTTACATGCAGTGCATCTGTCAAAACATAGTGAATACCCTTGATAAGAATATGCAAAAAGGTGGCCTATTTGTTCTTTGTGTTCACACCAACATATACAATCAGTTAAAGTGTTGCATACTCAACTCATTGTCTTATCCCATACTTATCTGGGTCCCGACTTATGATGTATCAAACAAAATTTATTTCTCCAATGCTTGGCATAATTCTACCCAAAACTACAATGAATATTCATAGGTTGTCTTATCCGGCGTCCTCACATTGTAGAGTTGAACAATGCAAGGGATGCTTTCCCCTTAAATGTGTAAAAATTTCTCACTATGATTCCTCTGGATTGCATTATGAGCTTGTGCTGAACCTCTATGAATTATTAGTAATTGTGATTGACTGTTTGCCGGAGAGATTTGTTCCGGTTTGGCTTCTCAAACTATTTAACTGGAGACTAGTAATGACAAGAATAAAATTACAATTGTGGATCTAACCCTTATACAACATTTAGTGTCTGAAGCCGACCTGGAAATATTTAAGAATAATACTCCAGGTCTGGCCTATGCTTGATAGACAGTCGTAACAAATCATTGTAATGCTTCGTAATATAGTTTTTATGAGATACAGTTGGCACGTCCCTCTGGTAACACATAATAAAGTGGAAGAGCCTAGTAGAGCTTGTCAACTATTGATGATCAGTGTCTTAATTGTTTGTATGTCCTCTTATGCGGTATTAGTATTTATCTTGATTGTTTGTGTGCCCTCTTATTGTGTTATACTGTTTTTATTTATCTATTTCCAAGGGAAACTTTGTGCTAATCATCAGAAACTAAGCTCACTGTTAGATTTAAGCGACACAACCCACATGTTGTGCTGCCCAAGGCACACATGGTGATGCGGTATGATATATAGAATAGAAGGATATAGGCAGAAGAGAGGAGGTAAAGAATGGAGGAGGAAATTCAATATATCTCCATAATAGTCTGTAGTGAAAACAACAAGGAAAGCTCAAATAGTAGAACATAAATTTCTAATTTAAAAATAGTAACCCTAGAATGAAAGTAAAAAAAAAAAAAAAAAATCAATAAAAAAATTATAATCTATTTCTTATTTCTATGGCCTAAAAAAAATGCATGTCTAGTTTATGTTTGTCTTCGCAGAATATCCATTAGGATCTCCATCACATTGTCTTCCATGCTACATTCATCCTTGCTTTGACTTGCACACATTTCTGGCACAGCCCCCAGCTTACTGACACAGATGGTTGCTTTGGCTAATGGTGCCAAAATGTTCCCTTCTATGATTAGGATAGGCCTATCCACAAGCTCAAAAACTATGCAAGGGACACTTGCAAGGACCTATCTACACCTCATAAACTCGATCATAGGTGAATGCACCAAATAACTTCAAATATTCTAGTTCTTCATAGTTATATGACAACTTCACGTGTTTGGAAAAAAACGTATACCATCTTGGACATTATCTTCACTCGACCCATTAATCTGGTTGCAACACCTTAGGTACGTGCTCTTCAGCGACTGGGAAGCCGTTTTGAGAATTTCTCTGGCCATGGGAGGTCTTGCATCTTATCTGGCCAACATCGAACAGGTTATTGCACTTGCCGGATTACCAGTCGAGATGCTAATCCAAATGATGACAATAATGCTAGGGCTAGCATATCAAGAATTGTTATGTTAGCTGAAGCATTGTTTGAGGTAAAGTTACCCATCTTTGTTTCCATTTGGAACCTAATTTTTATATTGCTATCATAAGATGAATATTTTGTATTCATTTTATAGGTTCTGGATGAAATTCACCAGCAATCTGTAGTCTTATTGTCTCGACCTTCTGTGTCTTCCATTGGATCTGTTCCTGCACCAATTGAAGTTGTGGAATCCCTGCCTTTGAAGCTATTCAGTAAATCGAAAAAACATCTAAGTGAAGAAGCTGCACAGTGAGTAAATAAATATGTTTAAATTTGCCTTCTGTTTTTGCTATAACGGTTGATATTGGTGCTGTACCTTTTCATTTCAATAACCAGATTCACTTTCATTTCACCTTTGAAAATTTATTTTCCTGTGGCATCTTACATATGAGCATATAAGTCATTAATATTATGCCAAGTCACCTTGTCTTGGTTGGTTAAGGATTGTTATTTCCACAACCAAGGTCAAGGATTTAGGGATTGGTACCATCCCTCCCCTCCACTCCCCACTCAAAAAAAGTCATTAATATTATTCGACTTTATTGTCAATATTTGATCAGCAAAATAATCCTAAATGTATTTGATAATGTAGCAGTAAGTTGTTTTATCCTTGTCTTGCATCAAAGAGATTATATAATCTGTTTACCTTATCCTTTGTTTTGTTTTAACAGATGTTACATATGCCTTGTTGAGTACGAGGAAGAAGATACTGTGCGGACACTGCCATGCCACCATGAATTTCATAGAACATGTATTGATAAATGGCTCAAGGAAATTCACAGGTACCTTTCTGACTTCATTTTTCCAAAATAAAGCTAGTTTTTACATTATTGATATCAAGAGGGTCAACTTAATTCCATAAGAATGAAGGAAAAACTGTATTAAGCTAATTGTTATATTTCAGGGTATGCCCACTTTGTAGACGGGATATATGCAGACCTAATCCATTAATCAATGGAGTAAGCGCCTCCTTATAGCAGTTGTGACATGTTTGCTAAGGTGGACTGCACCACACTGTATTAAAAAATAGAAAGAAAGTAATTTGCACTGAACATGCTATTTACTTTTTGCGACCAACAGCATTCTTGGCAGGTAAAATGGTCCTAACATAGATACTATGAAACCAATGTAAGTAGGTACAATGTCTTCGAGAATTTCAGTTCTGTTGTTGGTTTGATGTTGGCTTCTGTTATATATCTCAGTTACAATGACTCGATGCTACACTCGTTGATGGGTTCGAGGCGTTTCTTTTCGAGTAAGATAATCAATAAAAGGATGGGTATTTTTACTTGGAACTACTTGATACGAACCAGTCGATTTGGTCCACTTCTAGTTGAAAACTGGTTCGGTCAAGTTTTTAGAATTGAGAACGGAACGATTTCTATTCCAATTCCCAACTATAGCTACAGAGCCAAATTTTGATTTGGTGCCAACATTGTCATTGTTTATTGAATTTTCACAACAAAGTCAGCAACACACTAGCCTTAACCTCATTTAGAAAGCATGGAGTACTTCAATATGGGTTCTCTTGTTCCAATTTTGACTTCGTACAGTCTTCGTCCTTCATTGAGGCAAGTAGTATGTTTCTTTCAATTCCAACATAGCTGATTGAAACCTGATGAATGCATCACTCTCCAACGGGGAGAGGAAAATTTTGAATGGAAAATCATTCTCTGTAAAACATTTTCTTCTCATCTATTTTCCAGCTTTGCAACAAACGGACCCTAAGTTTAGCTGCTGCTTTTTTCAATTTATGGGAGGCCCTCATAAGCTTAGGAAATAAGCAATGTTCTTTTATATTAGAAAATAAAATATAGACGTCCTAAATACAAGGAATCTATTAGAAGGTATTTCCATAATAAGTAATGCTATACATCCCTATTGGGGATGAAACACAGTTTACGTGGCGTTAATGTGACAGTAAATGATATGTCAAATTAAATAAGTCATTTAAATTCACCTTTCATTTAACCTATCATTTAATGTCACCTAAACTGTGTTTTCATCCTCACTGAGAATGAATAACATTACTATTTCATAATTCTTCAAAATAGATAAACAGTGATGATTGTATGTTGCCATCGCTAGCAACTACTGTTGGGATTTTCCAATTGCCAGTTAACTTTGCTTACAACTAATGTTGAGATCTTCGCTATATGACTACTATTATTGTTGTTAACCTTTCGTAATGAGTAATGCTATATAACATAAATGGCGATAAGTGCTAAGCTATGTGAGATAAATATATGACACTACCCCACTGATGCTTAACACCATGAGAGTTGAATAACATTGACTTTTGGCAATAACGATAAGTGCTAGGTTGTAAGATAAATACACATGAACAATATGACATTAGCCCACTGATACTTAAAACCATGAGAGCTGAATGACATCGATTTTTGGCTACACGCTGTCAGGCTCATCATTGCTTGCAATTTGCTTGTCTTCGGCTACAGCCGAGTGGCGGAATAAAAAATGTCGTACTGGGGTGGAAAAATTTTGCATGAGCAAAATATACATGCAATATGTATATATTAAAAAAAATTTAAAATTTCTACATAAAAGAAAATACAATGCTGCGGGGACTGTCTCCACCCCTGCCCTGCCGCCCTGCCACTACTGCAGGCTGTATGCACATAATCTGGCTTATCATCGCTTGCATTCATTCGGCTGCATGCCATTTGTGTGCATGTTGGATGACAGCTAGTTGTGAATTATAAGCCACTAATGTATCAAATTATTATATATGACTAGACAGTATAGATCAGACAGGGCAACTTGTGCCAAATTGGATCAGTCATGATGACACAGGAGCAAAACAAACTGCCAAAAAGCAATTGAAGATTAAGAAAATAAGGGGGCAAAGAAAAAATCAATTCTATTTATATAATTCAGGACGAATATTACAATGAATAAGAGTAACTAATATAAAATTAAAGAATTTCTAATAATATAGAACTTTATCAAAATATTAAGACCAAACAAGGATCTTCACACATGAGCTATGTCTCTAAATGAATGGGCCCATAGAATGATCGAAGCCGGGGTATGACAGGCTTGAGCTGGGCCGAACAAGGTTCCTACTTCATAGTTCTATACAAACATGCTAGTACAGGCCTAACAAGGATCTATCAACTTTTACACATCTAGTTATTCTTAGCTTGCAAAGATCTATGTTTTTAACAGGATTTATTATGGACGTCAATTGAAAATCTAATGAAAGTGACGGTGTCTAGTTTCTGCCTGTATTAACAAAAATCATCGAGGATATTTCCTAGATGTCTCTCTTCTTAGATATGAATACTGCTAACTAACTTGAAGAAAGTGTATGTTGAACAATTACAACTGTGTAAGAAAAAAAATTCATAACTACATCACAATGAAAAACATATTCGTATATTGTATCTTCAACAGAGTAATTGTACTAGATTGATTGAAGAATAATATTGCTACAATTCAAGCAATCTTATTAGTCGGATTGGCTGCAGTTGATACATGCAGTATTAGAAATTTTATTATAAACCTGAACTTTTGACAACAGGTCAAGGTTATTTAGGTACCACTTATCTTTGATGAGGTTAAACTCGCTAGCCTAATATACACAAAGATTCTATCATCTAAAAACGACGTGGCTTGTTGTTACCTCGAGAATTTTGGGTTATTAGCATGCACAAGGTGAGACACTGCCATAGGTTCATAGGTGATTTCGGATTGCTTGAAACATCTTGTGAAATAGCTCCCATCTTGTGAACTGCCAATTGATTTCAATTTTTACTGCGAGTTAACAATTCGGTCCCCAGGTAGGTAACACATTGAAACTAATTGCTCATGGATAAAGGAAACTTAACTTCAAAAACAACAAAACTAAAGCAAAGATATGATGACATATTTGATATATTGTAACCAGAAATTATGGATAGAATTCAAGAGTGAATTTCCAGAATTCTATGTCTCATTTCTTTACAAGTTTGGACAGATTAAACAACAGAGCAAATTGTTTCCATTTGAGAGAGAAAAAATTTGTTTTGGACACAATAGATTTAGATAGACTCAGAGAAAAGAAGCAATAAAAACAAATATTACTGCAAGAAGATTACTACAAGCAGCAGCATAATGTAGTTGCTGAATTTGCATCACTTACAATGACCAAAAGGATTGCATAAGCACGCATTTGCTTGATTTCATTTCCAACATGTGTGCCACATGGAAGTTACATCATCAGATTCAGGCTTTTAGAGAGTAAAGAGCGTAATTTGAAACAAGTTTATAAAAATTACTACATGAAATTCTATTTCGAGACAAAATAGTCTCAGGGTACACATCCACTTTTCCGTAGCCAAAAAATAGCGAAATGGTGAGATTGGAAATTATACACCTCCATGTATAATGAACTTGCATATACAGACACACATGAACATGTATGGTATAATACACATTACAAACAAATGTACAAATATATGTCGATGTGCAATTTTGAAAATGTGTGCACTGTAAAGCTATTCATCTCTATCTTTGTTATACTTGTATATGCATGTGTGCACCAGGTTCTCAGATCATTTTGACAGGGTATCTAGCAAAAACATAGGAAGCAGATGTTGTCTTCAATAATATGAAAATCACTGTCAATATCTCAGTGTGGTTGGTAATATACTTAGCCCTAGTCTATTTCCAATGCTAAAATTCAGAAATGTCAGATGTAATAGCATTGCATCAAAGATGTAGTCATCAGTTCTGCTGAGAGTTCAAAATTACCGTCAGCAAGCTATTAATGAAGAGAAAGGTATGTTTGTTATGCTACTAATACTTGTACTTGACTCAACCAAAAAGATCAATATGTATTCTTAGCTTTCCTCCTCCTTTCATTCATTTAATTGCACAAAGAATTTCCAACTAATAGCTCCGAATCAAGACAAAGAACATCAAAATCTGCTATATAAATGCAATTCTATGTTAAGTCATTGATATACGACTTTTTTTCTAAAGCAATCTGCTGACACTCCTGTAACTTAAGAAGAGTAAAAAACTTATGACAGCAAAATGCTATTTGTGTCAACTTACACGACTAATTATTACCACAGATAAAATTAATCATATTCAACAAAGGACTTCATATCAAATTAGACGAAATGTAGAAATGAAGGATATATTTTTTTCTCCACCAAATTAGAACCCAAACATGCAGGCAAAGTCTTCGAAATTTAGTTAACAAAGGATTTCAAGATTATAAGGAACTTAGAACACATTCAAAGTGAAAAGCCACAAAATAAAAGTTTCAATTTCTTTGGAATTCAGAACATGCAATTGGATAAATTGTCTGTAAAAATCGTGTTACAGGCCAAGAGAAGATGTCTCTAAAGCTCAATGTCATTTTTTTTTTATTTTTCCTGCACAATACCAAAGTAGGGAAGCATGAATGACTTCACTAATTACATATATGAGACAATATGTGAATGTAATATTCTGCAACCACAAAAATGGAGAACCCGACATTGACCCAACTTATTGTCTTCCTTTGGCAATCCACAAATTGAAATAGGACACAAACAGGACAAGAAATCGCACAACTATCCAATAGTTCCTCAACAAACTATTAACAACATAAATTTCCTCAATCCACATTAGCTAGGGCAAAATGTGTATAAAGCAAGAATCAAAAGGGAGAGATATATAGAACAAGAAAATATGGAATATTAGGATCAGTAACAAATAAGAAGTGTTTTCAAGAAAGAAAGAAAATAAAGACATCTAATTTCCCCTCTTGTTGTGTCTGGTCAGAAGATGGGTCATTTACTGCACAGAGATAGCACAAAAAATATTATAGCCATGGAAGAACACAAGCTGAGAAAACAAACATATTAAAATGCCTAGTATTAGAGAAAATATTTTCTACAATATTTAAAAAACAATTAGTATGTATAAATTATTGAACTTTCCATTAAAATGACAATAACACAGCCAGAGAGAGATACAAAAA